AGGAATTCCCAACACAGAATGTGTTAGCAATATGTACGTTTGACCTAAAGTTTACTTATATGCTTCCTGGATGGGAACTCACAGATTACTAAAAATACATTAACAAGGGAAGATAGCCTTAAAATTCTTGAAGTTAAATGTTTTACCAATTTTACTTAAGTTTACATTCATTAGGGATTATAAACCAATACAGTAATTATGTTTTATTATGATAGGTAAATATTATCTTGTGGATGCTGGATTTATGTTAGCAAGAGGGCTTATAACACCTTATCGAGGAGTTCGTTATCATTTGAAAGAGTCTTCAAAAAGAAATCAACCCCTAAATCATAAGGAGTTATTTAACCTTCGACATGCAAAGTTACGGAATGCAATTGAAAGAGCTTTTGGTGTTTTGAAGAAAAGATTTGTATTTTTTTCCCAATGCAACCGAACCTACATATGGCATCAAAGTTCAAAAAATAATAATATATGCCTGTATAATTCTTTATAACTTCCTTATGAGTGCTGACCCTGCTGAAGATCTTATAAAAGAAGTTGATAGGGAACTTCTTCAACAGAATGTAGCAAATGACAATAACCGTGCTTCAAGTAGCGACAATAATGAGGCCGCTCGAGGTGAACTTATCAGAGAACATATAGCCACTCTGATGTGGGTAGATTACCAAAGTAATCCTGACTATGGTTTTAGTGATGATCTTGGGGATGACCTTGAGGATTAGAGTTTGATTTTCTTAGTAAAAGTTTGACTTTGTTGTTTAATGTGCATTACTATGTTTAAATTCAGTTTATTGAATTACTTGTTTACTTTAGACTTTGAATTCCAATTTAAGACATTCAATTTGTTGTATTACTTGTTTAGTGTAGACTTTGAATTCCAATTTAAGGCATTTAGTTTGTTGTATTACTTGATTATTTTAGACTTTTATTTCCAATTTAAGACATTTAGTTTGTTGTATTATGTGCTTATATTTTTACTTTATATGATGGCACCAAACAATAGTAAGGAGGCATAAAACTGGACAAGACATATGGATGATGCCCTTATTGATGCTTTTATGACTGAATATAACGAGGGCCAAAAAGTTAATGCACTTTTACATCTACTGCTTATGATAATATTGTTAGATATTTAAGTGCTTTGTTCAATAAGCAAATTGACAAGGACAAGGTCAAAAATCGATGGAAGACTTTAAAGAGAAATTTTTCAAATGTTTATGATATTTTTAAAAGTTTGACTAGGTTTGGTTGGAACCCAACAACTCATTTGTGGGATGCTGAGCCGGAAGTTTGGGATACACTGATTTAGATATAAGTGTTATATATATGTTGCCTTTTTTTTTTTAATTTCTAACTTTATAGGCTGTTGGTACTATTATTATTGCTGCAGGTATACATGTATATATACATGTTGCTTATTGGGACAATACTCTTCCAGTTTCAGATTGATGAATTCGGTTTTGTGTTTGGACATGTGGTCTATTAGGATTTCTTGATAACCCCTAAAAACTTGTTCAATGATGTCCTCTCTAAAGTGGCTAATGAGTAAGAGTTCGGCCATAGCCCTTATGCACTTTGTGACATTATATACATCATCACTAGTGATTTCTACGTCACTAAACTCATAGTTTGTTTTGTTCCAATCACTGTAAGCATTCCAATCCATAGCTGATACCTCCGTATGGTTGATGATGAATGACCCTTCCTTCACTACCTCCTCTTCAACTTCTGAAGGACATGGTATGTACTGAGGAATGTTGAATGAATCGACTTCCTCTTCTTTTATCATTCCCTACAACATAGTAATGCACAAATTGGTTTATTTCAATAAGGCCATAAATTCAATGATATTTGGTCATTAGTTTTCTAACTTTGTAGGCTGTTGGTATTATTATTATTACTGCTAGTATACGTGTATATATACATGTTGCTTATTAGGACAATACTCTTCCAGTTTTATATTTATATAATATTAATATGCACAATTCATCTCCATGCTAATATCTTTTATTTCCTGTATTTTTTAGGCTAAACCTGAGGCAGCACAGTGGAGAAACAATCCTTTTCCAAATTATGAGAAGATGCTAATACTATATGGGCTGGATAGAGCTAGTGGAGATGAGGGGAGACAATGCGTGAATGGAGGAAGAGACGTCATTCTCAGGAAGAGGTCACTAGAACTGTTAATGATATTGATAACCTTGTTTCATAAGGTAGATGTTCATTACAAAATGATGATGATTTTGTTGAGTTAGATGGACAAAATAACTCACCTGGACAAGGATTATCACCTGGAGAAGATAATTCTCCTGTTGCTAATAGTGCTTGTAGTAAGAGGACAAAACAAGTATCCAAAAAGCGTGAAAATAATTTAAAAAAACTAACTGGGGCAATATGTCAAGTGGCTGATGCACTAGATAGAGGAACTGAGGCATAACTACAAGGAAATATAGCTATAACAAAAGTCTCCACTACAAAGATGCAAGTGCCATAGCTATCTGGTATGAGACAGAAAAAAATACTTGACATATATTGCTTCCTTATGACTGATGTTGATAAGTTTAGAGCAGCTGTTCAATGTCCAACGTAATGTCTAGGTACTGATGCGTTTTGAATATTTTGGTAGGTGCTAGCAATTTTAGCTTTTTAGTAGTGGGGATGACTTGATTTGCACTATCAGGGTATGCTCTATTGAAAGTTTTTTTATTGTTAGCAAAATATTGTAAACTATAATGAAGACATTTCTTTACGAATAGAAAGGTGAAGGTTGTAAAAGCTCAAAGAAGAGTTTTATTTATCTGCGTGATAGGTTTGAAGTTGTAGGTATTTATAGTTCTAATTTTATCATCTTTGGATTATGTTTGTGCAGTATTTTCTATCAATTCAAGTATCTTGTTGTAAAAAAAACTTACATAGGAATCTATTCAATATTATGAGAAATTTGTTAATTACATATTAACAGCAATCATGTAAATAAATTAAATTAAATTAAATTATGATGCTAGCTTTTTTAGATGAAACAAATAAATTAAATTATGAGGCTAAATTTTTTAAATTAAACAAATAGTATGGATATCAATTCTAAATCTAAAATTTAACAATTTTACTGATACTACCCAAAAGATAATAATCCAAATAATAAGTAACGTCCTAAATATAAAATTATTAATTTTATTTTGTAGCATATATTATTACATTAGTGTGAATTTTATAAATTATATAATTTGAATTAGTATTTAAATTAATTTATATAAAATAATATAAATCAGAATATAAGGGTAAAATGATAAATTGATTATTACCATCCCTCCCCTCTCTCTTTTGAACCAAACAAAGGATCATTAAATATCTCTTCCTTCCTTCCATTTTAATCAAACCAAACAAGGTGAGGTTAAAACCTCCCCTCCCCTATCCTTCGCCCCGCCCTTCCCTCCTCTCAAACCAAACACACCCTTAGACTACTTCTTCCTTAAGCATTCTCATAAGCTTCATCAACATGCTTTATTATTTTAATCCTTTTTTCATCACATGTTCCCACACATGCTCTTTCTTGCAAATTCTAACTAATAGAAAGGCCTCCATTTCGCACCTTATAAAGGAGCAATAAAGGAAGGCAAAGTCAACTTGCATTCCTTAAGCTTTAAGAATTTACCACATGAACATTACTTTAGCAACTCCATTAATTATTCCTCATCAATCCTCCCACTATGTGATCTTGCCGCATGTTCAAGGCATTTTTTTCATGTTCTTGATAATATATTATTTTAATCCACCGTAACGTTAACCAAATACTTTCTGATATTTCCTAGCACCAAAAATTCCTTCCTCTACTTCACTAACGCCCTTTCATTGTGAGGAATTTCTCTTATTTTTTTAAGACCAAAACTCAATCTATAGATTTCTCTTTTAAAGATTTCCCAGATACCTTCTTTCTGTAAAATTTGGCTTTAAATTATTTTAAAGCCAACATTTTGACTTTCAAGGGTCAGGGATAATTTTTACTATCTTACATAATTCCTCAAATAATTAATTCCTATGTTTGTCTGATTATTTGAGACGTAATCATATTTTAAATAATTGATATTGACTAATTTTTCCTTAATTAGCCAAAATTCCCATAATCAACCAATTTACTAAATATCTATTCCAAAGGCAATTTTGTCATTTTTAACCTTTAATGGGTCTTAACACCTCATTTCCCATTTTTTGAAATTTTTCTAAAATTTTCGGGCATACTTTCCATCATTACCTTTTTCAGCCAAAACTTTTCAAAATTACAATTAGATCCGTGCTAGGATTTGAGGTCTCTAGCATAAACTTTGACCCATATTCATCCTCATTCCTCTTAACCCCTGACTCTCCGTCCCTTGGTCACATAAAACTTTCTCTTTACAATTTGGTCCTCCTATGAGAATTTCTAAAACTTTAGTTAAGAGGAGTTGATAACCTATCCATTTCAGACTATTTTTTGTACTTCTAAACTAAAAATTTGAGATGTTACACATATGAACGAATCACAAGAGCTTAAGCATGCAACTTAACACCATATTATAGGAATTTGTATTTATAGACAATTAGTCGGAAGACAAACCCTAAACTACTCTCAATGATGATTTGCACATGATTTAATAATTGAGAACCATTCATACCCTTAACCTTTGTAAAGATTATTAAAACAAACAAAACAAAAAAAGTATCAAAGTGTTTAACCCTAAGCTACTCTCAATTTGTTTCAATAATCACTATACATGATTCCGATTATCCGCATTTAGGTGGCCAGCCATAAGAAAAATATCCGACAAATATAGAACATATGAACGAATCTTAAGAGCTCAAGCATGCAACTTAACACCACATTAGAGGAATTTGTATTTACAGAGAATCAGTAAGAAGACAAATATGAAGACCTAAAGATTACATCATACAAAATAACTAAGAATTGCCAGGGCTTCATTTGCTTGAACAATAACCAAAAGGAAAATAAATAAATAAAACTCGGGTGAGAAGGGGGGGTCAAATTTTCAATAGATATCCATTCACATTACTGTTACACAACCTTAAGAACCACAGGATGTGCCATGTGAAAATAAGGCCAACACTTATTTTCTCATACTATACTAGAATTTATAGTTGCTGTAATATGCTCTATGGTTTCAAATATAGCATCAGAACAAGGATGGCTTCTATCCTCTACAGAGAACAAATGAATATTGTTGTTCAATTCAATCCAGCTGCACCCTGGATCTTTTCTCAATTTCAAACTCTGCAATCTCTTCCTCATATTCAGCTTTTGTCCCCACCTTTCTTGAACAGCATATATGTTGGACAGAACAACAAAAGCAGATATTGATTTTGGATCGAAACTAAGCAACTTCTCAGCAGCTCTTTCACCAATTTCCATGTCCTTCCAGAACCAACAAGCATGAAGCAAAGTTTCCCAGATCATCGCATCTGTTTCAATAGGCACTCTTTTAATAAATTCCTCAGCTTCTCTTAGATGACCTGAACGACCAAGAAGACTCACCACACATGTGTAATGTTCTATAGCTGGGTCTACTCCGTAGGATCTTTTCATTGAGTAGAAAATTGCCAAGCCTTCATCAACTAGACCAGCATGGCCACATGCAGATAGAATGCTAACAAAAGTAGCTGCATTTGGGACAACTCCTTGAGCTAACATGGATTCCAAGACTGAAATTGCCTCAGAGCCAACTCCATGATATGCATAGCCATTTATAAGGGCAGTCCATGCAGCCACATTGGGTAAATAAATGTTAATGAAGGACCTTTGAGCATCAGTGAGGTGACCACATTTGGAATACATGTCTATAAGTGAAGTCCCAACATAAACGTTAGATTGAAATGGTGTCTTAATCAAGTTGCCATGAAGTAATTGTCCTTGTTGAAGAAATCCAAGACACGCGCAAGCATGAAATAGGACAGAAAATGTTGATCTGGTATAGTCAACCTCTAATCTGCGCATAGCTACGTAAAGCTTCAAAGCCTCCTCATGCTGATTGTTCATAATGTACCCAGACATCATTGAATTCCATGTCACAGAGTCTCTTTCCCCTTTAGTTTCACTGAAGATCTTCACCGCTCTATCAAGTTCACCACACCTGGAATATACAGAAATCATAGTATTTGAGGAAGTTATAGTCTTAGGACTCATTTGCTCAAATAATCTCTTTGATTTCTCAGCTTGTCCGTTCATAGCATAACTTTTAATCATCATATTGATCGAAATCAGATTTGTCTCTTTCAATCCAAAGAAGACTAGCTCAGCTTTGTCAATTTGTCCAGTTGAGACAAGGCCGTTTATCAATGAGTTTGAAATATTCGAACAAGGTTCTTCTATTTCCTCATAAACTCTAATGGCATCATGTATGGCTTCACAATCGCAATAAAGTTCAACAAGTGCACCATTAATTGAGCTGTCAAAATCAAACCCACACTTAATACAGAACCCATGAACAGCCTTCCCTTTATGTAGAACTCTCAGTTCAGCACAAGTCCTAATAACACAGTCCAAGGTAAACTGATTTGGCAATGTCCCAAAACTTCTCATCTGCTCAAACAATTCCAAAGCCCTTTCACTCCCATTTTCACGCTTAGCATACCCTGATATCAATATAGTCCAGGTCACAACATCCCGGGTTGGCATTTTATCAAATATCTCCAACGCATCACCCATCATGTTACACCTGACATATGCCAAGAGCACCAAACTCCACAACAGCTCATTCCCACCATGCAGCTCATCAAAAACCAACTTAGCCTCCTCAATTTTAAAGCAACGTGAGTAAAAATTCAGCAAAGAACTTCCAACAAGATCAAAGCTCGCAAAACCAGATTTGAAAAGCATGGAATGAACTTGAATTCCATGACAGAGAGACCCAGAGTGTGCACATACACTCAGTAACGTAGAAAAGGAGCTTTCATTGAGTTTGACATTACAGTGATGCATGAGCGAAGCAAGAGCTAAAGCTTCATTGTATCTTCCCCATTTGGAATAGCCAGAAATCAGGGTATTCCATGAGACAACTGTACGATGTCTCATTTCATCAAACAAGCGGCGTGCTGCTTCTAGATCACCAGATTTGGCATGCTTGGTTATCAAAATATTGGTGGAGACTGCTACATTGGTGAGATGAGATTCTGAGGGCCGATGAAGGGTTGCATGCAGTCTGAACCTTTCTTTCCGCCAATCGTACTTCCAAATACCCAAAAGGAAAATTTTCAGAGACATTATAACGTCGAGAAGAGCTCTCCAAGAAACCTCACTTTTCCCTTATTCACTAATGTTGCACCTGCTTCATTTAATCATTTTGGTGAGCATTAAAAAAAACAAAAAAAGAAAAGAAACGAACAAACAAACAAACAGATCAGATACATAGCAGCATCCTCATAATAATAGATCGAAATAGTCAGATTAATGGTTAGCAACAGGACTACGAAAAAATAGCGAATGGACTTGCCATTTCTTTCAAAAGAGCGTTCCCATCTTTAAAGAGCTTAACGTCCTCAGCCCCACCAAGCAACCTGATTCAGGAAAGATAATGCGACAATGTAAGCGAACCAAATAAGGAGGAGAATCGCATAAAAGTGGGAAACAAAAGGGAAATCGTGGTACTACATTTTGATGGTGCCCTTGGGACCCAGGTTGGGCTTGAGGACATCCTGCAAGCCCTTGACGGCATTAATGTTGATGTGCATAGCCGCCGATATGTTAAACAGCCCAGTGTTAGGAACCAGCACTAGCAGGGACATGTTTCCCGCGAAGGTAAACGCGCTCAGATATACGGGGAGAGAGCAACAGTCTACAGTACGAAATGTCGGAGGAAATTGTGAGAAGATGTAGCAAAGATTCAACAACCAAATTTCATCAGAAATTTCTGTTTCAATAACAACCCCTTAAAACGCGGTAGCAGCTCCTCTTCTTCAGGACGCTCTCTGCAAGCTTTTGGAGGTTTTATTGGCAAGAAAGGGTTCCGTAGCGAAAGATGAGATTAACATAAGTTGACAATATGGACTGGACAAGGTTTTTACTATGATTATAAAACTATAAAATTTTGTCTGAGTCAGGTGCACGTTTGATATATATCCCTTCTTGCCAACTTCCAAGAATAACCTGGGTTCTTCGTAGTTTCGGTCAACTCCATTCAGCAAGTTTGCATTCTCAAAACGAGGACATCATGCATTGGAAATGACAATTATCACGTATTCCACCACAAGAACAATGGACTGGATGCAAGTAGCAACTAGGACATTGGAAAATTATTTAAAAACCAGAGAGATTGAAGGACATAACCGATCGAACAATGCTGAGCAGAGATATGAAAATGAGACAAGGCGCACAGAGAAGTAATAGTCACGAACTATGGAGATTCCCTCACCCAACGACGGCGCAATGGTCCGAGGCTGGTGGAAACTAGTTCTTCGATGTTTAGGGATTTGGAAGAAATTTGGGCTGGCATACCCAGTCCAGTCCGTACAATAGGCCTTCTTTTTTGTTAAAACAAAATGTAAACTTATCTCGAGAATTTTATCCTAAAGGATTTGAATAAATAATAACAATAATAATAATAATAATAATAATAATAAATCTCTCATTAAAAATTAAGTAAAACTATAAAAAGTTAAAATAAAAAATTCTATAGAGTTCTTATTAAAAATTAAGTGAAACTATAGAGATTTACTCCCCCTCCCACTTTGTAAGATGTCTCAAATTTTTCCATTTAGTTTTTTAAATATATTTATTATCTTATTCGGAAACATTATTTTCTTTATTTTAATAATTTTTTATTCTCTACCTTGTATTAAATTCTCTCCCACATAAATAAGGGGGTATTTTTAAGGCAAAAAATTATAATTTTTATGTTTATAGTGTCTTTAACTAGTTTTAATTAATTTTTTTAACCACATGACTTAATCTATCTATTATTTCTTATAAAAATGGGTCAAGAGAGTACTAATTAATTCTAATGTACATATAGTAGAGCCGGTACTTTGTCAAAAAAGGCAGGCTCAGGTTGGCAAAACGCTAACTCGCCAAGGTGGGGGCTACTCTAGCCCACACTGCTTTGAGCCAACACCGACAAGGGTAGCCTGCGGGCCTGCTTTTTTTTTTATATAAAAATTTTCATATAATTCCCAATATATTATACAATATAATTAAAATATTTTGACCCTCAAATTCTACATGAACAATTAAACATTGTCTTATTTATATCATTACATATGTAATTAAGCACTTTATATATTTGTGACTGTGTGTCTAGTTATATAAAGAACATTGTCCATCTTTTATTTTTCATTTATTTGTTGCGTTACTATGCAAGCCTTTATAAGACAAATATAAATTAACATGTGATGCTTATATACATATATAAAATATCTACTTAATTAATTTGGATAAAAAACTTGTTAAATTAATTATTTATAAAAAATATGTGCTTTTTTTTAAATATCTTCTTAAATTATAAATTAATCTTCACATTATTTTATTATAACACACTACTCAAATTCAAGATTCCAAGCCCAATTTAAATATTTCAAACTAAGCCTAACGCATACAACAATAGTAGTTTTTATTAAAAAAATAAAAAAATTATTAAAGCGGGATGGCTGGCTGCCAAAATGCCAGCCTGCCAAGGTACAAGCTACTTCAGCCCGCACCACCGCAGGCTGGCCCGTATCCACACCTCCAACCCGCTTTCCCACCTTAATATATAGCAAACATTGATTTTTTTTCCCCCCAACATTGTGTTTGCCTCTTGCGCGGTCCTAAAAATTCACATCATCCTCACCGTTTTCCCAAATAACTACCAATATAGAGTTGCTTAACAAAAAAGTTTGGTTATTGTATGTCAGGGTAATTTGACCTCAGTTTGCTAGCATATATGGAAGAATAGGTGCTATGCAGTTATTAAGATATGCAGCCTAATTCACTTGGAACCTGTCACATTTTGTTAATTTTAACTCTAAAAATGAAGAATATAAAATAAACCATGAGTCAAGCAAGATAGGCAATAGATAGACGGCACAAATTTTGAACTGAAACTAGACTGGGGACCGAACTGTCATTTTCAACATATTCGGTTAATATTGAATAGAGTCGGAAAGTGTACCCAAAATTGTAGAAAATTTCCAAAAAGTTATGAAAAAGAAAATAAAGAGTATAGAATGGTATTTGAGGTTGAAGAGTGAAAAAAAGTATGAAAATAATTTATTTTGAAATTTTTTATATTTTCTTGGAATTTTGGCTAATTAAGGAAAAATTGGCTAAATTGAATTATTTAAAATAAATAAGGACCTCATTAATTCTAGGAAAAAATTAGAAATATTATTTGAGAGGTTATTATGAATTTTAAAATTATTTTCAACCTCTAGAGATGCAGAGATTAGCTTTAAATTATTTAAAACTAGAATTATATCAGTAAAAGGTTGATTTCAGGAAAAATTTAATTAAAGCAGTTAGAAGGCAAAATAAAATATGAGAAAATTAGAAACAATTCTCCTCATCAAAAGAAAGATATTAGCATAAGGAAATAGATTTTTGGAGACAGAAAATTTAACAGGATTCAAGAAAAATTTAATTGATATTGTGAAATTATATAGTGCAATAACCATAAGTTTAGTGGGGCCAAATTTTCCCCCATTCTTCTGACCTAAATGTCACTATTTGAGGAGGGTGAGGATCTAAGTGGAATAATGTAATTTGTTGAAAGGTAGAATTGGAAGATTGGAATTATGGATAAAATATGAGGATTTTTACACATAGGAGCTTATGTGTCCGATGAGGTGACACCTTCATTTAATTTAAAGGACACCCAAGGGGATAAATCGTGTGTTGTAAAAGGAAGAAGAGAAGAGATGAAGCCAAGTGTCCTAAGATGAAAATCAATGGTAAAATAAGTTACCTCCTAACCAGGGCTTAAGGTAAGTTTATAAATACCATCTCTCCTCTTGGGTCACTTTTTTGGTCAATTTGGGGACTTAGAAAGGCAAAAGGTTTTGGCCAAGAATGAGAAGAGAAGGGGGAGAGGAAAAAAAAAGGCAAATCCAAGTGATTTCAAGTCTTTAATCAAGGTGAAAGCATGATTATCCTCTCTATGCTTGTTTCTCTATAGATTGATGGTTTTAAACTTGGTTTTGATGGAGTTTAATGGTTTGAAACCCTATGTGATGGTGCTACACTAAATGTTTCTAGATGGATTATGATTGATATTAAGTTGATACATGGATTAAGAGTAGAAAATGGTTGTTTGATGATAATCAAACTTTGTTATTTGAAAGATTTCAACTTCTGTAATTATGTGACACTTGTTTGGCCAAGGTAAATATGTTGTCCTAGGGTTTGGTTTTTTTTTTTTGGTGCTTTCAATGATTTAGAAGGTGAATTTGTGTAGGGGTATAGGGAAAATGTAATATCCTAAAAAAATTACAAAAAAAAAAAATAAATAATAGAGTCAACTTTCCACCAACTTTCGGTGGAAAGTTGAAATTGAGGGTGGAAAATTTGGGAGAGAGTGGAAAATGGGCAAACGTGTGGAAAAAATTGGCATCAAGGAAGACTTTGGGGAGAAAGATTTAATGCCAGAAGAATGGGATAGGGTTGTTGGAGAAATGAAGAAATAAAAGGGAGAGGGAATGCAGAAGTTGAGTTATATACGAGAGAGAAAGAGAGAGAACGAGAAAGAGAGAGAACAAGAAGCAGAGCAAGAGAGAACGAGAGAGGAGCAAAGAAGGTTTAGCATTTTGAAGGGTAATACAAGCTTTGGAGATCATCTAGGTACACAAATATAGTTCTTTTTATCAAACTTTCTTCATGAATATGTTCTATATATTTTAGGCTTCCTAATGATAGTATTCCTAAAGTGATTAGAGAAAATTTTAAAATTTATATATGATCTAAGTATTGAGTTTTGACAAAAAATAACTATAGAAATTTAGAAGTAAATCAGTTGTTAATTTTAATCGGTTTAGATTTCTCTATTTGTTAGTTTTAGTATTTAAATTAATTTATTTAGTTGAAAATCTGTTATTTATGGGATATACCATATTTTTACCGATTAAATTTAAGTTAAATAATTTATTTGGATTGTTTGATATATTATTGAGATTTTAATCGGTTTAGTTTTATTTATTGGGTGACTGGAAGTTTTAAAATAATTATTGTAGCTAAAAAGTTTATTATTAATGGAAATATATATATATGGTAGTTATACCATTAAATTTTTGATTAGATTATTTATTTATAAATATTTGAAGTATTATTGAATTTTTGATACTTTGATTTTGAGATTTAAACTGAAAATGGGATTTTTAAAATTTAGAACATAGTAATTTTATATTTCGAAATTGTGAAAAATTCTTTTTATTAAGGTAAATAATTTGGAGGTGGTAAATAAATAATTTGGCTTGTTAGAAAATTTTAAGTTATTTCTAAATTACTCAATAATTTTTGGGTTATGAGAGTTGCGGGAATTTAGAATAAAAATTTAATTAAATTAGAAATTTAAATAATATAGAGAAGTTTAATTAATTAATTAATTAGTTTATATTAATATGTGGTTATATTAATTGTGTAGATTAATTATTGGTTGAGCAAAGGATTGACCTTGTGGTAATCTTTAGAATTGCTTTGGCGAGAGGTAACCACTTCCCACTTGTTATATGTGCTAATATGTTGTTTGTGAGTATTTTGCTATTTTAGAATAATATTTGTTATTTGGAACTCGAGTAGATATGTTATATCTTTTGAGCTATGAAAATTGTCTTGTGGGATTTTTGGAATTGTGATTGAGAAATTTGAAAAAGATATATGATTTATATCTTATGGATTATACTAGGAAAATATTGAGACATTTTTTTGTTATATTGTGAATGATTGGTTGTTATTTGGATTTTGGATTGAGCGCTATCCTACCACGTGGTAAGGCCGCCATTGGTGCACATTGGTTGGCTTCTTCCTTCATCCCTCATAGTGAGGGATAGGCCTTTGTGGCTTATTATTTGTCCCCCAGAGTGAGGGATAGGCCTATATGTCTGATTAATCCCCCATAGTGAGGGATAGACTTATGTGGCTTGTGTGTTAGCCCCCATAGTGAGGGTTTGGATGATTGAAATTATATGTCTATGTTTTCGAGAATTAATGACTGTCCCACTTGACACCTCACGAGCACGTGTTAGTATGTATGGTGAGTTGGAAAGTTGGTTACTGAGGCGTTTGTCTCACCCCGTGGTTTTTACTATCTTCAGGTGATAGTTCAGGTGGTGACCCATCAGGGAGAACTCCAGAGGCATAGTGTGCTGTTATAGCTTGTATAGCCTCCCGACTTTTGTTATATGTGCTGATTTGTTATATATTGCCACATAGGGCCCACATACTCTAATGCTGTAAACTAATACTTTTAA